TCATGGCTGGATGGTAGTGTTTGAAATCCTTCATCTCCAGGGATGTACAATCTTGAGAATAAGAAGTAGGTAGTAAGTTAGAAACATCAGTAAGCAGCTACTGAACTATAGATCCTGTCATGCCTTCTGGGAATTATCAGTGCTGCTTCTGGCATCTGTGAACAGTCAGAGGGCGCGGCTGAATCCACCACCTCTATAATTGTTCTTGTCCTGACAGAAAGCCTGGCAGTCCAGTTTTACTTCTCTATGAACAATCTTAAAATTAATCTAACTTAGTGTCCCTGTTTGCACTGTATGGGGTCACCGCTGATTTCTGCATGTGCGTTGGAAGATGGTAAGGTTTGTTCTGTGAGCTTTTTCTCAAAGTTTGTACTTATTTGCTACATAAACATATAACAAATAAAAACATCAAAATATATTCAATAAAATAAAAATTGGGTTATTTAAAGGACTTTGATTCTCTTTCTTCACCTTTATGAAAACACCGTCACACATAACTCCAACTCTGGCCTGCTTTCAGCTTTTTTAGTGTGTCTGTGTGTGTGTCAGTGGTGCAGACGCTCTGTCTACTGCTAAGGGCACCCCTGATGTTTGAAAGAAATGTGCAGGTGTAAGAACTGTAAGAGAGAGAGAGAGAGAGAGAGAGAGAGAGAGAGAGAGAGAGAACACGTGTGAAAGGCAATTAAGACCAAAGCAGAAGGGAGGACTAGGAGGAGGGGAGGAGGGGTGGAAGTGCATCTGTATCCAAACCTTTGCCTTGGTTCACGTCAGACAGGCTTTGCAGAGCTTTCTCGCTCATAAAACACCCCTACCCCCAAAACACACACAAGCACAAGCACAAGCACACATAAATCTCTCATGATGTCAAATCTTTTAGTCAGTTTCAAGTCTGCTTCTGCAACTCAGTCCGAATGCTTGTCCTTCTTCACAGCAATAACCTCCCAAAATTGGAACCAAAATTTGTGTTTTTCATCTGTGTTTTTTTTCATAATTTCCTTCATGTAAGCAAGGGGAAAAAAACATCTTGTACACCTCTTGTTAACGAGCAAATTTCAGAGAAAAGTGGGGGAGAAACAAATTCAGACTGCTTATCATTCCCTGTGGCAAGTCCCAGAAAATCACTGATTGGCTGCAGTGGAATATATTGGGGAAGAGGAGAGAGAGGAAGAGATGATGGGATTAAACAGTTTGTTAGAAGCTGTGTTCCTCCTACACAGAGACAGACTGGAGGAAACCTCAAACCCTTCTATAGATCCATCCGAGTGCATGGCCACAGGCTGTGTGTGTGTGTGTGTGTGTGTGTGTGTGTGTGTGTGTGTGTGTGTGTGTGTGTGTGTGTGTGTGCATCAGTGTGTTTATGTGTAAGACACACAGTTTGTGTGTCTGTGCAAGTCTCTTGCGTACGTGTGTGTGCTGACTTAGAAGTAGCTGTGCATGTCTTTCTGCTTTCTCCTACAGGCACAGTGCTGTAGGGAAGGAGGGTAGGGGAGGAAGGGATGGAGGGACACCTGTCTCTGTCTGTCCGAGGGGAGGAGTTGGCAGGGTGAATGCAGTGTCATGTTCTCTCTCTGATTACGTCCGCACTGTGCCGGCTAGATTTGAAATCTTTTTCTCTTTCGTTTTGCTGTTTCAGTTCCACATTGCAGAAAAACCTTTGTGTTTTAGTGTGGACCCACTCGATGATCACTAATTTTTCATGTCAATGTAGTCAATGATACGATACAGCTGTTGTTATCTATCTATCTATCTATCTATCTATCTATCTATCTATCTATCTATCTATCTATCTATCTATCTATCTATCTATCTATCTATCTATCTATCTATCTATCTATCTATCTCATTCTCCAGCTTCACTATCAGCATTGCTAATAAAGGGTATATTTTAAATTCAAATATTCACAAATTCTAATATCGTCTCTCTCCCCCCTCTCTGCCTCCTCTGCCTCACCCACACATTGGCTCTTGGCCACTGGTTATGTGCCTGACAGCACATAAGAGAAAGCTACAGAGGAAAAGGGGGCCGAGAGAGAAAATAAAGAAGACAAAGAATTACAGGAAAAAAAAGGAAAGCGCTGAAAAGTGAAACACTGAAAAATAATTAGGAAAGAGTAAGCCAGGAAGAGAAAGAAAAAGAGATCTTGTCAGGATACGAGTAGCCGTTAAACAAAGTTGTCATTACAGAAAAGAGGAGGAGGAAACTGTCGCGGGGACGAGGCGTTCTCTTGTGAAAATACAACACAAGATCTGTGACATGTACACACACATGCACACTCATGCGCACACACACACGTCCTCGCAGTGCAATGACAGCTTGCGTCATAACTGTGGTGTTCATTCCACGCAAAGCAGACACAAAGCATGATGGGAGAGTGGGAGGTGCATGACCCGCATAATGTCGGGAGCTAGCTCACCTGTCAGAAAAACACCGAAAATACACACTGTGACACACACTGAGAGCCAGGGTGAAAAACACACACTCTTTACTCTGTCTATGCACAACAGAGTTCTCATCTGTAAACTTGGCAGCATTTTATAGAGCCATGAGGGATCTGTAGTGTTGAATCAACTCCTATTGTCTGTGCTTTCTTCATGTCTTATTGTTAAAAGACAAGAGGTAATAGGATGAAGGCACACACATGCACACACACACACACACACACACACACACACACACACACACACACACACACACACACACACACACAAACATGTTGATAACTCACTCTGACAGCTGAGTAAAACAAAATTACAATGTAACACAGCATAAAATATCCACCACTTGTGTGTGCACCTGTATTACAATAACAGTAACTATGTTCCTACAGCCACATTAAGGCGACTTACCTTACTGTACTAAACATTAGTGTTAAGACTTTGATTGTGGTGTGTCCAGGGAATGGATATGATTCCATGCAATGTGCTCCTAAGTGACAAAACCAGTGTGTGTTTGTATGTGTGTTTTGGCCTCTGGGTTCAGGAATGATAGTCCACATAACTGTGATGGCATGTAAACAAATAATGTAAAGATTTACACGCCTTTTATATTCATGTATATTTTATCTGTCTGTACAGTAGCAACGAAACGCCATGTGTGGTACTTTAATCTTGGTATCTGAAACTTGCTTCATCTGTTGAGGCCTGTCGCTGGGTTGTTTTAAAAGTAAATGAATGTTGTACTTAAAGCATGTATCTTAAACTGCAGACAGTGTACTTTGGGTTCTTTTGAGGTTGAGGCATGTTTGATCACTTTAGAGAAATGTAGAAAGCTCAATATTGAAGCAATTAACGGCACTGTGGTCAGAACTGATCGATGAAGATGTGCAAACAGAGTCCAGCCATAGCTTTACTGTGAGGGGAAAAAAAACAATAATTGAAACTGAATTAACTTCACTCAGAATTAAGCTTTGTGACTTTGTGTCTTCTTTCATGGCAAGTTGCTCAAGGAATTTCTTTCCAGGAAGCTATTTTAGAGCCAGACAGGTGTGTCTTTGGTATCCAGACACAGAGGCAACCGTCCTGCTGTGGGTCTGGAGATAGGTCCTAACATTTGTGGTCAGAAAAGATGAAAGAAATGGGAATAAAAATAGATTTCAGGTCAGAAGCTTCCCTTTATGGATAGAAGGAAAAGACAGCTTTTCTCCTGATGTGTACTGTTCAGCATGGACATGTGTACTTTTAGGTAAATTCTGATTTTAATGTACGTTTATGAAAAGCACAAAGAACAATAAAGCAAAGCACTTGATGTTGTATGACAGACAAAAATGTCACTTTAATGGCAGTTGACTTTAACTTCTGTCTTTGCATAGTGATAAATCCTTATTAATCATAATGCGTCTATTCCTTCATTGAGAAAGTTGAAAAAATGTGAGATATTTCTAAGTGACAAAGAACCAGGAAAATGCCTTGATCCACTCTACGAAGTGGAAAATGAATTTCTCTCAAGACTGCAGGCCCTCAGGCTGAGTTACAAACATTATTGAATTAGACCTGGGCAAAGATGTAAACTACAGTCATTTGTTCCACATTAATCCTTAACTAGCATCAAAGGCTGCAGGGTTCATGCATAGTTCAAAAAGCTTTATGATTACATTTACTCTCACACTCTGCCATTCAACCTATCATAAAGCAAAAGACGTACATTTCCTTGTTTTATGTCTTTTTTCTTGCACAATACAAGGCTTGTTCATCAATCATATCTTTTGAAAGCACGGCATTGCTTTAAAAATATCATCAAACTCAGAATTTACTTTGAGGATAACAAGCAGAAAATTAGGAAAATTGGTTGCATGAGGTTGGGAATCAGTTTTCTCTTGAATTTCTTGGTTATGCAAGCAAGGGAGCACATCATCTTACATTCACACTCTCCCTTTGTTTGCATGTAATATAGTTATAATTCAGAAAATGATGTTCTGTCGCAGTTGGAGTACATAATCACAAATGTCAAAAAAGGTTTCTCTTTCTATTTTGCCTTATGCAGGTGGTTCTTTTCCTCCTCCACCATCTGTGAACTGCCAATGTCTTCTGCTGGATTCATTTGAATTGTAATGACACCCATGCTTCTGCTGATAGTAACTGTGCTTTCAGAGGTCCCTCTAGCTACTGATAGATGCAAACAGTTTGCTCATTGCTTCCGTTTTGCAGCCAAATCCAATGCAATGCCTGCCAGATGAAAAAACTAATAAAGAAAAAAAAAAGACTAATAACATCTGAGTCAAAGCAGCTTGGAAGGATTTAACAATTTCCTCTTTCTCAAATTAAAGTCTCCTCTCCCCTCTTCCACAAAACACCTCATCAGTACATTAATTAAATGTCTGCACATCAAGCATGACCAGTAGTTGATATTTAGTACTGTAGGCTATTATTGTCCCTGTGGTATTGCATTCTCTGCCAGAGTTCCCACAAGCTGCAAGTCTCAGGATAGTGATAAAATGGTATAGAATTTTAGTTAATCTATATGTATGTCGGAGTATTTAATAATATTTGTTTATCCTCTGCAGGTATGACTATGTAGAGATCCACGATGGGAACTCGGAGTCGGCTGACCTATTGGGGAAGCACTGCAGCAACATCGCCCCTGCACCGATCATATCGTCAGGGCCATCACTCCACATCAAATTCGTATCAGACTACGCCCACCAGGGGGCGGGCTTCTCACTGCGCTACGAAATCTTCAAAACCGGTAAATGGATGCTACTGTTGTTTCGGATGGTTTTCACTTGCACTTTCTCGAAGAATATAACATTATTTTTTGATACACGTAGTCAGACACGTATTGACAGTACAGTACAGTACAGTACAGTACAGTATTGTACTGTAATGCTGTATGCTATAAACTGTATGTCTGTCAAATCAGTACATGTCAGACTTTTAATGGTGCAGCTGAAAAAGGGCATCTTGGGTTCAGGAATTAATGAGGCACTGGAACTACAACTCATACTGTAATAACCAAAGGTCAAATGGTAGATGTTTTCATGACATAGTCAGAGCCTTAAACCCTAGGACTCCAGGGTGTTTCAATATGTGACATTGTTGTATGGCTCGGAAAAGTAGTCTTCTTTCGATAAAGCAATACTCTGACCAAATTCTATTAAGAATCCAAGACTCACAATTGGGACATTATTCATGTCCCTCACACATGGACAGACTTAGGATTTTAGAGGGATTGCACCTTTGCAAATAGGCTATTAGTAGCTGTATTACAAGCTACTCATAGAGGACTCAACATGCTTCATTAGGTGACCAAGCCTCGTTTATCTCCATAGTGTCATGGGAGACAGAGAGTAAGAGACGAGAGACACAGCAGAGGACCCTTGAGAGCCCTTTAGACTGTCCAGGCGAGACATCGCTCCCCTTCATGGCACTTTGTGTGTGTGTTGTGTGTGTGCGCTTCACATGGCTCCCCTTCACGCAGCCATGGGTCAGCCAAAGCGAGACCAATTGAGATCAAGGGCGAGTGAGACAGAGGGGCGCATAGTGTCGGCCCCACAGCCATCTTGTCCCGTTCCCCCTGAAAGCATTCCACACATGTCTGCTTAATTGAGTCCTGAGCCCTGTTCCCTTGAGACACACACACGCACACAAGCACACACACACACACACACACACACACACACACACACACACACACACACACACACACACACAGAGGGCTGAGGTTACTAACACAACACGTGCGGTTGTCGGTGTTTCTCACTTGCTGGCACCGGCCTGCTGGGATTTCTTCTGTGTGTGTGTGTGTGTGTCTTTTGCGCTTGACACAGTCCACCTGATGACTTTAAAACAACAAGGGTGTCAGTGTTCACACCCCAGCACCCTAGAGAGAGAAAGACAGAGAGACAGAGAGAGATTTGTGAATCAACGAATTGGTTTGGATTTTGATTTATGACATTCTAATATCAAACATAAAACATGAAACACTATCACAATAGTTTCATGGGAAGCAATTATTTATGAAGTCCACTGTTTTGGTTTAAGATGCTCTCTGCTTACAGTTTCTCTTACAGAAACAGTAGTTAGTAATCCAGTTCTTCCATTCAATTATGTATATTTAGTTCACAATTTCTGCACATTACTGTTGTTTATGAAGGTTATGACACGTACATGTGTCACGTGTTTTTATTTTACACATTTTTGAGTTGTGCTGTGATCAAGGCTTGGTTAGGTTTAGGCACAAACACGACTTGGTTAGGTAAATGTAAAATAAGTTATTGGTTAAGGTTAGGGGAACATCTTGGTTTAGGTCAGAATAACTACTTTGCTAACATTAGTGGGCTTTAATCGTCGTCACTGTGACATTAATAACTTGGTTAAGGTTATGGAATGATTCTGGTCTTGGTTAAAAGAAAGCCATGTTGGTTGTCAGCTTGAGACTGAAAACAAACAGCTGTCTCTCCCACGTGACATTTGTTGACCCATCCTTTGTCACTCTGGCTTTGTCACTTTAATGACAAAAACTGTTGTTTTGGGGCATTTGGTGAAATGATTTATTCTGTCGTTTTTCTTAGTTGGACACTTTTTGGAGGGAATTATTCCCAGGTTACCATCAACTGCACATACACAAACACGATCTCAGTTTTTAAGGACAGCTGATTTAATGGATAAATTGTACAACAGCATAAACAGCACTTCCTCTAGTTTGTCTCTATCTGTGTAACTTTGTATGTGTGCGAAAGTGTGTGTGTGTGTGTGTGTGTGTGTGTGTGTGTGTGTGTGTTTTCGTGTCCAGCCTTCCCTGGCAGTAATGATGGAGCCATTTGGAACATTCAAGCTGTTGCCATACTGCTAACACGATCTTGTTATCCTGGAAGGTGCAGCAGAACGTCTGGTTGCGTGGGTGACTAGATTTTATGTATGTGTGTCTGGGTGTATGTGTGTGTGTGTGTGTGTGTGTGTGTGTGTGTGTGTGTGTGTGTGTGTGTGTGTCATACATACTGTATAGCCTCACAGTGAACTCTCTTAATACGTATCTATCTTTGCTACCCCAGCACATTCTGCTACATTAAAAGGAAGACGAAACAGTGCTCCTCTCCTCTTGTGTATTTCTACGGCCTCCACTGCTAGCAAATGTACTCTCTCTACTAGAAGCTATGGGGGGAAACAAGGATAGAGGCACTTATCGTGAAGAGGTTTCAAGCACAGCTGTACTAATATTGTCCTTGTAAAACCTGAATTTTCGTAATTACAGCTCATTGTTCTTAATTTTTATCTTTCAGAAAATTAAAATGAATCAGTCTTTTTTGAATAGTGTTGAATAGTTTTTCAATAGAAAACATTTAGTAGTTTAACTTTAATTTATTTGTTTGTTTCTCTTCAGTCTCTGTCAGAAGACAAACCTTTGTTTTGTTGAGGGCATCAAATCTGTGCGAAAATTTATTCAAAACAATCAGCTCTTTTTTTCCTGTTAGAATCTATTACATTTAAAACAAGGAATCGGTTTCACTGTCCCGTGTTGCTAGCGCGGATACGATTCCTTCATCCCCTTGACTGAATATTGAGAGGAGGGGCTCTGGGATCACTGTCCCCTCCTGTTACTGGGGTCTGTGTTTTTAGGAGTAATGAGAAGGTTTGCGTGTGCATGCATGTTGAAGGACATTGCCCCCCCGCTCTCTGGGTGTCCCAATTACTAACCCCCTCAAAGATTAACGGTCTAATCGGTCTGGAAATGGCACACATACATATACAGTGACGCATGTCTACCATGGAAAACATGTATCTAAAGCAGAAAAGCGTGCGTGTGTTTTCTGTCCTTCTGTCATATTTGGAGAATATGTAGCGCACATACAAGGCTGGTAAATAATTAGGACATATAAGGCATTGATACACAGATAAACTTGAACAAACATCTCAAAACATCACAATTAAGGGAAAAAAGACCCCCAAAAAAGTAACACATGCCACGCTTGTTTTTGTTTACAGCTCTGTTACTGTGGATACTGTAGTAAAATTCCAGCCAATAGGAACACAGCGCCCAGAATGTGGCGACCAATCAAAATCCACTGTCTAGGCAGTGAGCCCCCAGCTGTTATTGTGACCCAGAACTCACCAGACAGAATGCACTGATGCAGGCTGTACAGTTGCTCACAAATGGAGGGCAGCTTGCATGTCTGCACGCAAATGTTAACTCACTTACACACACACACACACACGCATGTGAATTACGTTTGTCACTTAAGAAGACATTTCATTGACTTACATTAATTCCCTGGACACTTATCTTAACCTTAACCATAACATATACCCAACCCTTATCCTTAACATTTACCAAAAGACAAATTTCAACCTTACATTTTACCGGTTTACTTAGTGGGGACCCATAATACAACTGTGTGCACGGATTTGAGTAACCCAAGTTCACACACACACACACACACACACACACACACACACACACACACACACCACACACACACACACACACCTCAGGCAGTGTAATGTGGAAGCTTTCGTGACAGTCCTTCCAATAACTGCTGTTGTTTACATTCTACCAAATGCCTTTAGGCACTTCCTCTCTGCCTCTGTCCGACGACCCATCAAGTCAGTTTATTACACTGTCTAACCAATCGGATTGCTTGCTCCTCCCTCCTCTGGCTTTCATTGAGGAAAGTGGATCCAGATCCAGTGAAAAGCGAAAGGTGCTCTGTGGTAGAGCTGAATGTAACAAACAGCAGAGGTATGATTCCCTTCAAAATGCACAATGAACCTTTTCAAACATTTTCACTCAAAAAGTGGCTTTGCTCACATTGTTTATAGGACTGAAACTACACCTACTGATGAAAATTTTATAATTGTAAGAATCTGACAGATACATTTAGAGGTTTTTTTTTTTTTTTTTTGGGGGGTTAGAAAGATTTGTTTACACTGGTTTGTGTGTAAATATTAGTATAAAGCAGATGTTTTGAGCTATGGCAGACTGAAAAGGTTCCAAGATGCTTCAATTTCTACACGTCAAACTCAAGAATGAATTTGAAAATATTTCACTGAATTACATCATCATAGTAATGCTAGGTTGGAGCTTTTAGCAAATTGCATTGGGGTAGCTAAGGGGTGGTTGTTTTGTGACAGTTTGATTTCATATGTCAGCGGTAATTTGGTTGAATAGGGAGTTTAGTATGGAGGGAAATCCCTGCTGAGATTCAATGACAGAGGTTGAAATGTAATGTCAGAGGAGTTTCAGCACCACAAGCCTCCAACTTGACTGACAACAAATGACACACACAAGGTGGGATCTAACCATACATATGGAAAACCCAAGCTGTGGTTTTGCAGGAACTCTGGAGCTGTGTGTGGGCCTGGTGTGTGTCTGTGTGTGTGTGTGTGTGTGTGTGTGTGTGAATATTAAGTCTCCTCTGCATGTACACGTATGTGTGTGTGTGTTAGAGATTGATGGAAGGAGGGAGGGAATAATTGTGGGTTTGATCCCGACTAATAGCCCATTGGCATGAAAGAGTTTAAATGAAAGTAGACGTCTGCATGCCAGCTTACCAGACACACACACACACACACACACACACACACACACACACACACACACACACACACACACACACACACACACACGCTGACAGACATAGTCCTGTCTCCCAGAGATCACTGAGCCATAAGCACCAGTGCCAGATCTACCCAGCAACACACACGCCCACACACACACATACTTCCTCTAACCTTACCCCATAGTAAAACACATGTTTCTTTCACACTTATCCAATTCATACAGATGGTAAGTGAGAATAAATAAGAAAAGGAAATGAGACAGTGTGAGGGAAGGGACTGATGGAGCTGTGGAGGATGAAAAGATGCATGGGAAGATGGTAAAGAAAAACCAGCAGGAGGGAAGAGAAGAAGAAAGATCAGAAAAGAAAAGTAGAGAAATGAATGAGGAGATAAGTTGAGCGGAACAAAAGGGAAGTCCTAGAAAACAGATGTACACAGATTTAGTGAAGAGCACACTACACAAGCTATTTTAAATTTTTTACACAAAGTACAAAATATTCCATTTTGGATTTGACTAAATGAATAGCAAAGAGGAAGCACAAGGTGGATACAGCCAAGAGAGAATGTGGAGTAGGGACAGGAAAAAGGAGGGCACAAGTGTTTTTGCGATGTTCATGAACATGAAGTAATGAGAAGGGAATAAAATCGCTGCCGGCAACAGAACTGGTCAGGCGTTCACTCCACACACTCACACACACACACACATACACACATGCTCATAGTCACGCAGACCTGCGCTACCCAGCGACCGACTCTGCAGGGGGTCCAGACGCAAGGGGAACCCCGTGAGAGACGGGGAGAGTCTGTGTGAATGTGTGTTTGCTTGCAACTGAGGTCACTGCATGAGCGGGAGGGTCAGAAAAACAAGCAAATCAGACTGGAAAGTAGGACAGAAAAACAGACAATATATCAAGACAAACAGACAATCTCTATCTTACTAAAAATAGATGTTGCAGTGGAAAATGGATGCTACCATAGATGCAAACAAAATTTCAGTGTCAATCATGTTTCTCTCTATTGTTACCTAAAATCAGTCAGATGTCAGATTTTTAAACATAATTCCCCCAAACTGCTGCTGTCCAAGATGAATAAAGAAGGGTGGAAACAAGACCAATATTCCAGGTTACACCCACCCTAGTTTGTTTGATTTTGAATTTCACTTACTTATTATGACTTATTTGATGCCATCTTTCAGTCCACTAACTGTCTGACAGAGTCTGTACTCTAAAAACATAGTTTCCATGGAGATGTTCAGCGAAACAAGCCATTTTAGTCATGGACCAATTTCATTACTGACAGCACTCAAAGCCCAATACATACATAAGTCAGAATAAAATAGATTTAAAACAGCTATGAGCTATCAAGCAGCCAATGTAGACAGCGGTATTGATTAAAATTGATGTGTATCTGTTCTGTCAAACAAACGTACGACAGATGAAAAATGGGGCTGAAACACGCCTGATTGTGACACAAACACATGTGTTTAATGCCCTTTGCATGCCAGAATACACTTTCTAGTGATGTGTTCTTACTTATTTTCTCGTTATTTACTCTTGGAAGCGTGCAAGGACAATAGCAGACACCCAAACAGACTAGAGGGAAATGGGTTACCATAAGAGGCTTAGACAGTGTGTTTGTGTGTGTGTGTGTGTGTGTGTGTGTGTGTGTGTGTGTGTGTGTGTGTGTGTGTGTGTGGGTGTTTGGTCATACATGGCTGGGTGAACAGAAATAATGGTCCAGTTGGTATGACCACATACCCCGTATAACGTGTGTGTGAGAGGGAGGGAGTATTAATGTAGAGGGTATTACAGTCATTCAGAAATGAAGAGCCCCATATCACAGTGTGCATTTGTGTGTGTGTGTGTGTGTGTGTGTTGTGTGTGTGTGTGTGTGTGTGCTTGCGTACATATGACGATATTTAAACCCTCTCATAACTGCTAGACCACCCAACCATGACTCTATCAGAAGATCCGACATTGGTTTTTCTCACTCCTGTTTTCTCTCATATATCTTTTTCACTTACATAACTTCATTTTTTACTTTTTGATACATATCTCACTCCTAGCTCAACTTAATTTCCCTCTGGTTTTATTTTTCTCTATCTCTGTCTCTATTTGCTTCCCTCCATCTCACTTGAATTCTGCAATTTCTTTGTTAATATTCAGAGAGCAATATCTCTTATGGGGTTGAGGTTGTCTTTACATTTTCTCAGGAGCTAATATGGATAAAGCGTTTTGCTCACAAGCAGATGTATTGTTCTGTTATGGACACACTAATATTGGGCTTTCATTGCACTCAGTCCTCTATAGGCTTGCCCTCTCACTCATACTCTGCTATATCTTCGTCCAGGGTATCTGGTTTACCACTTTAAAAGCTTGCTGGTTAAAATGTCTGTGTTTTTGAGCTGCTACACCTGAAACAGATGCTTATCAATTAATCTTATTCCATACATTGAAGCTACATCACTTTTTAGCCACAGGATTTACATTTATTAAACTACCATTGTGTAGCATATGAGTTATGACTTCGGCAGACCTAGTAACTGTGTTGTACATACTGCACAAATACCAACAATCACATCAACTGCATTTAAACTACATAATTTGGAGTCAGAGTTAATCTCACAAAGCTGGATTTATATCTGGTCAAGAAAGCTGAGATAGCTACGCTGGGAATCATTCGGTTTACTGTGAGTTTGATGCATCTCTGAGTGTCTGCCCTAAATAATATAATTAGTTTGAAGTATAATTATGTCTATGACATCTATGCCCTTTTCTAAATACATTTGTGCTAACATTTTTCATGGTTAATGAGTCATACCAACGTCAAACTGCTATAAATATATGTTTTCTATTTAATACACACCTCATTATATGCATTATGTTTCCGTGTCTTCATCCCAGGTTCAGACTGTTCCCGTAACTTCACCAGTCCCTCAGGTCTCATTGAGTCCCCGGGCTTCCCTGACAAATACCCCCACAACCTGGAGTGCTCCTTTATCATCATCGTGCCCCCCAGCATGGATGTCACCCTCACCTTCCTCACCTTTGACCTGGAGAACGACCCCCTGCCGGGCGGGGAGGGGGACTGCAAGTACGACTGGCTGGAAGTGTGGGACGGGCTCCCAGGAGGTGAGGCATTGATCAATTGGATGTGTTTTGTTTTTGGATGACAATTTGTATTTGATGATTATGATCTTGATGGAGATGTTCAAGAACAATTCAGCCATCTCATGAGTCAACAGAGCAAAATGGTGTGTACTCTGCCCTGCCTACATCATTATTGACTGAGGTGGAGTAGCAACTATTTTAGTAGCTATGCGTTGGTAGATGAAAGCTGAGCTTACAGGCAGGATGTCGGCACCTACTGTGGAGAAACAACATAACTTTTCAAGGGGAAAATAAAAACAGGAGTTGCTGAGAGGAGGGAGAAAAGAGGGGAGGTGAGAGGAGGAATGGTAGAGGGCTAGGATATTTCTGGTCTAGCTGCTAGAAGGACTGGAAGGGTTTAGAAGGATAAATCCAAGGCACGAAGACCTTGGATCTAGTTCCAAGAGATGGAAGAGGTAGAGAGAAAAAGAAGAGGACTGGAAGGGCAGCAGAAAGTCCTATACTGCTGGGAAGATTGGAACAAAGGAGGGAGATGTTGAGATGAATAAATGAAGGCCGGAAGCTCTCTAGTCTGCCTTTAAGAAGAAGACTGGGAGAAACAGGAGGATTTGAGATGAGTTCAGCAAGTGGGACTGGAAACAGGAAGGACGATTTGTCTCAGAAAATCAATATTTGCTGTAGTATTTTAAACTATTTCATTGTTGTTTTTGATAATTGTATTTGTATAATCAATACAATCCATTGTTTTCAGTTTCACTATTTGAAGAAATTGACAGGACATATTCTTATTTGCTTCATTCCTAAATCTTGTAAGGTACATAGAAAACACCCAGCAATGGCTAAACGGCATTAGTAGCAAAGGAGAGCAAACAATAGTGCCTTTGTTCCCATGAATAACTTTACTATAAATATGAATTTAGCCTGAGGAGGCGAGAAAAGTCAGAGAGATGGTGCAAAGACAAGAGAGCAGTTAAAAGGAGAAAAGAAAAAAGCCACTACACCTTTACTCCTTCTTTTCAGAGTGTTAAATTGAAGATGAGAGAAGTTAAGCAAAGTTGAAAGTAGAAAATAAAGATGACCAGAAAGGCAAAAAGAGAGGGATGGAAGAGAAAGATAGGATGAAAGGCTTCACCTCTGAGTGATAGAGAGAGACCACAAGAAGGATAGCAGGATGAAAGGAAAGGAAGGAAAGTGAATTGAAGTGGGAGGAGGTTGAAAGGGGAGGAAATGTACAGGATGAGCTTCAGAGGTGAAGGACTTAGTTCTGCCCTTTGCAGGAGAGTAAAGTCCTAAGCAGGAAGAAAGGACATGGCAAAAGACAAGAAGGTAAAGGGAGTGGCTGAGGAAATCAATTAAGTAAAAAACAGAGAAAACTAGAATATGAAGTGTAATGAAGTGGTTGTTTTGTGTGAGTTTGGCAACTCAACTGTTTGCTTTCCAAAATGGAGGTTACATATGCACATACCCCAATGTGAAACTAATAAGGGGGGTGGGCATGGCATTGGTATCATTGTGTGTTTGTGTTATCACATATGTGTTTGCAGGGGTCAGGCAAGGGACAAATGTGCCTTCTGTCAACCTAATACGCTGCTGAAATTAAATTCATAAACACAGAGGGAGAAAGAGAAATGAGGCAATTTGTGTCTGTAATATTAAATATTAAATCCTAAAAAAATGTTACATTTGTTTGACCAATGTTTTACGCAAATATGGGTCATTTATTTATAGAAATCATCTCTGTGCATTCGAGATTCTTTTCTCTTCTCCTTTTTTTTCCTGTTTCCTCACCACCATCAAGAAAAGAGTTATTACCGTTATTTGCTCAAGAGCCCTATTTCAAATATCCACCCATTCCAAAAGGGAAGAAAAAAATCAATAGCACTGATCGATTGCTGGCTATTTTCTCGTTTTCCTCCTCCTCCTCCTCCTCCCCCTCCTCCAAGCCTCCTTGTGTGTGTATCTGTAAGTGTGAGAAAGGAGTCAGGGAGTAGCAGGATGGATCTACTATCTCTGTTCCCATCCCTTCTCTCTCTCTCTCTCTCTCTCTCTCACACACACACACACACACACACACACACACACACACCCTAGGGCTTAAATCACACTCATCTGTCTGTGTTGACATACACAGGTTGTGGTCTTAGAAAGGAAGACAGTAGATGAATCACTTAGATCCTTGGATGTACACACACACACACACACACACACATATATATATATATATATATATATAATACCTGTTGTAAAGCCATGTCCTGTCCAGAGATACAGTTAATAGATGGAAGGAAGAGAGGCGATGACATGAGAGGGTGGAATGATGAGCAGATGTCAGTGGAGGAGGGAGTGATAGAGATAGTAGAAGAAAGGAGAAAAAAACATGCAAGTAGTAAAGGAGAGACAAACAAATGCGAAGGATTGATAAAGGAATGAAAAGCTAATAAACCATCTAGACACCTGGATGAGTGAGATTCTTGTAATATCTTGTGCAACCAACACATCTAGAGTATTCTGTCATGAGTAAAACAAGTAAATGATGATGACATATATACGTTGGTGAAGTTAATGGACTGATCGCAAATCCAATACTTTTTCTCCAATCGATAGTGGGCCCTCTGATTGGTCGATACTGTGGGACCAGGGTGCCTCCTGAGATCCAGTCATCTACTGGGATTCTCTCTCTGTCCTTCCACACTGATATGGCGGTGGCGAAAGATGGCTTCTCCGCTCGATACAACATGACACACAAGGAAGTCAGTGAGAGTAAGTTTAAGTTGCCTTTTTTTAGTTTAATTGTTTTGTTCTTTTTAAGTGAGAATATTGGTCTAAATCTCTTCCTCTACTCCTATTCTCTTCTAGCTTTCCACTGTAGTAATGCGTTTGGTCTGGAGTCAGGAAAGATCACAGATGACCAGATCACAGCCTCATCAAGTTTCTATGATGAACACTGGCTGCCACGACAGGCCCGACTCAATTACAACGACAATGGATGGACGCCCAACGAAGACAGCAACAGGGAGTACATACAGGTTCGTCTTTGTCTTCAACTGTAGTTTAGAAACCTGCAGCTGTGGCAGATCCTCAAAATTTTATTCACAGATGCTCACATATGGTTCCATTGATAAGGCTTTATAACCCTCAAATAATGACACTCGTAATCGCTCACATGCACTAAGGCTGCACAAATCCTGAATTAAAACTGAGCCGTACAATAAAGAATGAACAGATGTACAGGTAAGAATTTTAACTCATCTCTTCATCTTTGTTAAACACAAACTGAACTATTAGTTTGAACTCATTTGCAACAGCAAATAGTTTTTGAAGGAAATGTAATGTAGACCAGATTACCGAACATTAAACACATGTTAATGTTAATTAACGGATCTGGCAAGTCACAAAAATGTTGATAGTGAATGTATCAGTAAAATATTCACTTACAATGTATTTTATTTGTTTTCCACAAAAATATCCAATCTAGCATTACAATATCCACTTGAAATGACTACAGCATTACTATGTTTAGGCACTAGCAGCACTCGGTTAAGGAAAGATTATGGATTGGTTTAATACAGAAAAAAAGTTTGCAGTGCTTTGAAGCACAAGAAACAACCTATTTATTAAGATTTTATGGAAACCATGATTTTTTCTTTCTTTTTCATCAGCATGTGCCACAAATCCAAGATCTTAATCCTTAACAACAGAATCTTATTCTTGAAAAAATTTACTCGGCCTAAACTAAAAACAGACTACACTTGTATTTTCTTGTGTTGACATGTCACACGTAATAACTCCAACACAGCTATATTTGTGTCAGTGTATGTGTGTGAGTGAGAGAGAGCGAGTGGGAGGTGTAGTGATATCAAGGTTTAGCAGCTACATGCCTGGGTAAGGCATTGTTTCCTGTATTCTATCACAGTGCCAATTTTGTGCCATCCCTGCGCCTGAGCCTGAGTTATGAGGCTGTCTGGGTGAGAGAGGGAGGGAGTGTAAGGTTCACTCAGCCCTCAGAGAGAAATGAATTCAAACCAACCCGCTAGGCAGTCTTCAGTGAGACGCCTTCCATAAACAACAGATTATCTTGTTGGGTGTCACCTTCCTGTAGCCTTGCTAAGACTGTCCACAGGTTCTGATTGTTAGCTTTTTCAATAGGCATTGATGACAAAGGCTTCCCTTCATTAGGTTATCAGCTTCAACCTTCCCTATACCCAATGTCAGATGCAGACCTCAGTTTCATAGACTTTCAAGAGCAAGTTTCGAGAGCAAGAAGCTGCTTGATTCTCAGTTTTCTTGACTAAAACCTCACCGCACAATCACACCACAAAAAAGCCTATGAGATTAAGGCTTGCTTTGCGCAGCTAACATATTCCATCCTCTTAAAACCCTGTGATTAGACAGCCCAACATGTGCTGCTTCAAAGAAATGATCAAAAGTTTGTTCAGTTAACAACAAAGAAGCCAGTGAGGGTTTTACTCAATGTGACACGAACCGGGCAAGCATCTCATCTTTTGTAGGAATTATGACACAACCGCAGAAGTTTTGATTGTCAGAGCTCCGCTGTGGCCAAACTCCGGGCCAGCAAACACAGGAAGGGACTGTGGCCAAGAGACAGCATGAGGCCAAGGTCCCATCAGTCTCATGCTTCCTTCCTGTCTCACCTCCACTGCAGCTGACAGCTCACTCTGTCCGGCTCACTCTCAAAAATTAGCTGACATTGAAGAATTTGCTTAATGTGAATCACTTGAATGATTCTCCATATTTTGTTTTTTTTAGCATTTTCTTTTTCCTGCCCATAAGATCTCCTCAGCAGATGGAAAGACCTCTGATTAAGATTTTGATTGTCCGTGACACATCAGATGTTCGCATAAAATCGACTGGACAGTTGGCCAGAAATGCAGCTTCTACTTCTCTCGTGTTGTCTTTCTGTCTCTCCTCTGGTCGCCGGTGTTGTGGTCGGGTCGCTGCGTTCCACAGAGGCTCTCAGCTGTTCGCCTGCGTTAACACCTAGCACAGAGCAAGGCCCCTGCATGTGTGTGTGTGTGTGTGTTTGTGTGTACTCATATGTGTTTGTGTGCAACCTCCTGTCTTGACAAGCACCTGTCATAAATGCCAACATGCCTCTCCTTCTTGAATCTTGCACCCCGTGGTCTCGAGAAAGTCTGTGTGAGACTGTGTGTGTTTTCATGCATGTGTGTTTGTGTGTGTGTGTGTGTGTGTTTGTTGATGTGTGTACCCATGCAGCTCAGGCATGTGTGTGGTGCTATGTTGGCTCAAGAGCCACGTGTGTGGTTTAAATTTCTCTCTAGGGGATTTTATCTGATGTAGATTATGTGGTTGCTCTATTCTGTTCTATTCTACTCTATTGTATTTTATATTTTTCTATTCTGGTCTGGTCTGGTCTGGTCCAGTGAAGTGTGGTGCAGATTGATGATGTGAGTTCTGGTGGCTCTGTTATTCTAACAACTCTGTGATTGATGAGAAACCTTGGAAGCCCTGGGTAGGCTCTCTCTTCTCTCTCTCTCTCTCTCTCTCTCTCTCTCTCTCTCTCTCTCATAATCATTCATTCTTCACCTCCTTCTCTTCTTTCTATCTCCCTCTTATTCCCTTACTCCTCACCTCTCCTCTTTTCATCCATTTGTCTCCTCAGTTCCGGACTATTGATTAGTTGTCTTGGTGGATCTCTGTCTGGCCCTAAGCGTGCAGGTGTTTGTGTGTGTGTGTGTGTGTGTGTGTGTGTGTGTGTGTGTGTGTTGGAAGTAATCTAAAACACCTGTCTCTCTGACAGATAACAAACGCAGCATTTTACCTCCCCCGGTGTTTTGTACTATACCCCAGTGGGATGCACAATTCTCACACACACACACACACACACACACACACACACACACACACACACACACACACACACACACACACACACAACAAGTTCTGATTAATCTACAGGTTTCAGCAGCTCCAATGGAGGAGAATAAATGTTATAACCTACAGCAGAACCTTTCTCATCTTCCGCTCTTTATTTCCCTCTCTCTGCCTGTATTCCCTATTCTCTTTAATATAAAACCGTGTTTTGTAAAGTAGAGGAAATAGAGGGATGGATCTCCAATCACTGTCCCAGCGTAGCAGAGAGGACATAATTCATGTAAACTGAGGGTTTCAAAATGTGAAATACTCAAAACAGTTTCAGGTGTGCTCAGTTTCTGGGAAGGATAAAAGTAGTCTACACTTAGTGATGAAGTACTTCAGCTTTTCAGTGATGTAGAGGTCAGACAGTGGTGTCAAAAAGCAGCAAAAAGTTGCAGGAAATGAATGTCCTGTCTTGATAGATCCAGTTTTTTTGGTTGCCAACAAAGTTGATTATAATTCCTTATGTGGATAAATACAGTGGTTCTTGTTGGCAGGTGCTCCTCGGTAGCAGCGTTAAAATATATTCCCAAAACAATTTAATCTCTTTTTACTTTATGTCCCGTGCAAATTGAGGTAATCTGAGAAAATATCTTTTATTTTTTGTTACTTTTTACTGTGATTTAGTGTGCGACATTGTTCTGCTTTATCTTCTCGTTTTGGGCACTGTGAAGCAAGACAAATGTGTATCTACTTGAGGGACCTTGAAATGAAGGAGTCTGAAGCCTGCATTCATCACACAGTGGTGTCCACATATAATGCAACATAGCTAGCAGCATGCCAGACACGTAGCGTAGCATCCACAATCAGGATGGGGAGGTGATTATGGCTATTGTATGGGAGGAAATTAAAATGAGCCCCAGGTCATTACTATCGATCTGCCAGGAGGGAGACACAAGAGGAGAGAGAGAGAGAAAAATAAGGAGATGAGAGGGAGAAGAAAGTAAAGGAGACTAGTGAAGGTGAGAGTTGGATGCTGATAAGTCCAGGTGTATATTTGTGTATTTATGTCTATCGTATGCTTTAAGAGCTTCAGCATGAGGGCATTTTGCCAAGTGTATGACATGGGATTCGGGCTAAGATTAGAAATAGGAATAGATACAGATCAGGGAAGGGTCTGCAGTTTGGTTGGTATATTTTTATTCTTTATTTAAACTTTCTCTCCCTTCCCCGCCAACAGGTGGACCTGCATACTTTAAAGGTGCTTACAGGCATCGCCACCCAAGGTGCCATTTCAAAGGAGACTCAAAAGGCTTACCATGTCACCACCTTCAAGTTGGAAGTCAGCACCAATGGGGAGGACTGGATGGTCTACAGACATGGCAAGAATCATAAGGTAGGCTCAGACGCATCCACAGACACACATATTTCATGCCATGGGATAAATTGCAGGAGTCAGGGCGACCAGAGAAAGTCTGGATGCTCTTAGCTGACACACATGCCTCGACACAAATATGAGAAGGAATATATGCAGCAAGAGTTGACCACAAGCCCAAAATTCAACCGGTGTCTGCAATTACAGCCTTTCCACCACGGTTCAGTTGGCTTCATTTAAGGATTTACGACCAAGCCAGAATCAGCACACGTCTCCAAGCTCCAAGTGATACCTTACATCATTGAATGCAGCTACACTTACACTGCACAGTCTGCTTTTCACATCCCATCTGGTTTCTGTTACTTACTGGTCAGAGAACTGCCTAATGCTGACCTGGTTGGACAGGTTTCTAAGCTGTTTCTCTCAGAGGTGCTAAAGCACTATGAATCATCAGCGAGTGTGCTGCATTTTGGGGGTGCTGGGTAGAAATGAAGCAGACAGTATTGAGGGTCTTTAAAAAGGTTGAAACTGCAATTAAAGTATAGGAGCATTCCAGTGGTTGTGGCTGTTTTTTCCATCACAGCCGTTCTCTCCCTGCTATAGCGGTCACATATGTGTGTCCTGTGGTCTAACGCCACGTCTAGCTGTGTGCTATAAATCCTTATTCCTTCACAAACACTAATACATGCATATTCTCTCAAGATGCATAGGGAAACAGGGAGATTCAGTCTAACCATCTGGGGTTCCTCTGTGGACTGCAGATCCCATAAGGCTTATAGCTGTAGCTAACTCCCAGATAAGTAATTGATGGATAAAACACAGGGAGATGTGGAAAAATAAATAAATAAATTGAGGGACAAAGAAGTGAGTGTAAACAAGTTTTATTAATAAGGTGTAAAGCTATTGAGCTTAGTCGCTGTTAAGTTGAATGGAAAAATTAATTTGCCCAGAATATGAACTAATCAATCAATCAATTCACCATTCAGTCAGTTGTGTTGTCATTCAAATAGCGATATTCAGTGGATACCAGGCAACAATTCAATTTTATTTGTATAGCGCCAATTCATAACAGAAGTTATCTCAGGACACTTTTCAAATAGAGCAGGTCTAGACCGAACTCTTTAACATTAATTACAGAGACCCAACAGTACCACCATGAGCAAGCACTTGGCGACAAGGGCAAGGAAAAACTGCCTGTTAAAAGGCAGAAACCTAGGACAGATCCTCCGGCTCTAGGTGGGTGGTCGTCTGTCTCGACCAGTTGGGGTGAGAGAGAGAGAGAGAGAGAGAGAGAGAGAGAGAGAGCGACAGACAGACAGACAGACGCACAGCAACAACAGTATTGGCAATGGCAGTCAAGCAGGACCATGGCAGGAGGCTCCACCAGGATCCACGAGAACCTGCGAGACGGAAAGCACAAGAACTCCGGGGAAGAAGTGGAGTTAGTAACATGCATTAAAGGGACATGAATGAGTGCAGAAAGAGAGAGGAAGAGAGTAGCTCAGTGCACCATGGGAAATCCCCGATAGTCTAGGCCTATAGCAGCATAACTAAGGGATGGTTCAGGACTCACCTGATCCAGCCCTAACTATAAGCTTTATCAAAGAGGAATGTCTTAAGCCTACTCTTGAATGTGGTGAGGGTGTCTGCCTCCCGAACCACAACTGGAAGCTGGTTCCACAGGAGAGGAGCTTGGTAACTGAAGGCTCTGGCTCCTGTTCTACTTTTAGAGACTATAGGAACCACAAGTAGCCCAGCATTCAGAGAACGTAGTGTTCTAGTGGGGTAATAGGGTACTATGAGCTCTTTAAGATATGAAGGGGCCTGACCATGAAGAGCTTTATAGGTGAGGAGGAGTATTTTAAATTCAATTCTACATTTTATAGGGAGCCAATGCAGAGTAGCTAGTACAGGAGAGATGTGATCTCTTTTTCTAGTTCCTGTCAGTACTCGTGCTGCAGCGTTCTGAATTAATTGGAGCGTTTTAATGGACTTATTGGGGCAACCTGATAATAAAGAGTTGCAGTAATCCAGCCTTGAAGTAACAAATGCATGGATTAGTTTTTCTGCATCTGTCTGTGATAGTATGTGTCTAATTTTTCTAATATTACGTAAATGAAAGAAGGCAGTCCTAGAGGTCTGCTTTATGTGGGAGTTAAATGACAAATCCTGATCAAAGATAACTCCAAGATTCCTGACAGTGGTGCTAGAGGCCAAGTTAATGCCATCTAGAGTGACTATATCTTTAGACAATGAGTCTCTAAGGTTTTTGGGGCCAAGAACAAGAATTTCGTTTTTTCTGAGTTTAACATCAGAAAATTGCAGGTCATCCAGGATTTTATGTCCTTAAGACATGTTTGTAATTTAGATAATTGATTAATTTCATTGGGTTTGATTGATAGATATAACTGCGTATCATCTGCATAACAGTGAAAGTTAATGGAGTGATTCCTAATAATGTTGCCTAAAGGGAGCATATATAAAGTAAATAGTATTGGTCCAAGTACAGAACCTTGTGGAACTCCATGACTAACTTTAGTATTTATGGAGGATTCATCGTTAACATGTACAAACTGAGAACGATCTGATAAGTATGACTTAAACCAGGTTAGGGCAGTTCCTTTAATGCCAATTTGATGCTCAAGTCTCTGTAAAAGAATATCATGGTCAATGGTGTCAAATGCAGCACTAAGATCTAATAATACAAGTACAGAGACAAGTCCATTGTCAGAAGCAATCAGAAGGTCATTATTAACTTTAACCAGAGCTGTCTCTGTGCTATGATGAACTCTAAATCCTGACTGAAAATCCTCAAATAAACTATTGTTATGTAGAAAGTCACACAACTCTTTGGCGACTACTTTCTCCAGAATCTTAGAGAGGAACGGGAGGTTAGAAATCGGTCTATAGTTGGCTAAAACCCCTGGGTCAGAGTAGACTTTTTAAGAAGGGGTTTAATTACAGCTACTTTAAAGGACTGTGGTACATATCCTGATAATAAAGAAAGATTAATCATATCCAGTAAAGAAGTGCCAATTAAGGGAACAACTTCTTTAAGCAGCCTAGTTGGGATCGGGTCTAACAGACAGGTTGATGGCTTCGATGAAGAAATGATTGAAGTTAACTGATGAAGATCGATAGCAGAAAAACAGTCTAAATATACATCTAAGTTTACATTGACAGAAGTCCCTGAACTTGGAGAGCCACTGATAACTGTTGATGGCAGTTGGTGATTAATTTTTTCTAATAGTAATAATTTTATTATAGAAGAACAACAATCCTATATGCAAAATGAATGATGATGTTTTGAGGTTAGTTGTTGGTGTCACTACCCATAATCCCCCTTGATTCCCTCATAAACCTGGAAAGCTGTTTCAGAGCTGAATGCCTAGGGAGACACAGAGGGGTGTGCGTGTGTGTTTGTGTGTGTGTGTGTGTGTGTGTGTTTGAGGAGGAGGGGTTTAGAATAAATCAGCAGCAGCTTCTGGTAGAATATCCCTCACTTCTCTTCCAAATACACACACACACACACACACACACACACACAAACATGCACAACCTCAAACCAACTGGTAAGGGTCTTTTGAGCCATTCGACCCCTGGTGAGTCAGTCTGTTCAGTTATCTAATGGTTGGGGTCGTCAGTTGCTTCATTTGATCCACTTTTGTATATCAAAGAGGAGGCAGAGTGAAGTTAGAGCAGAGAGAACTGAAAAAAAGTGAAGTGAGGGATCATTTATCTGATGATGAAACTACGGTATCAGCATCTTGGAGCCTAACGTCTGTCCTCAGCTGACATACTTCAGACGGACAGTCAGCACTGGCCTTGCCATCCCAACTGTCTCTGTCGAATTTTAGGGTGTAAGTGAGAGTCTGTGTTTTATGTTTGAAAGATATATATAAATAACTCAACAGCAAAGCGCCAAGGAGATCTTTTGGCAGAGTGTTTTATAGTTTGGGTGTATAAAATGCTGTGTCTGCATTGACAGGATAATTCAAGGAATTCTTTTTTTTATTTATATGTATAATTGAGAGCAGATCCTGGATCTGGATTACATGGAGGGATCAGTTGTAAGCATGTAATATTTTTCTTTTCCTGAACTTAAAGGTACACAAAAGCCACATTGAATTATTTATTTATTGCTTTCTTTCAAGAGAACATACGTTGTCTACCAATTCAAGGTATATATAAAAGTTCTCCAACTCCTTTCCATTGTACTTGTTGAACCTGCGCTGAACTGTCCATTTATCCATCTATCTCTCGCTTGACATTTTCATTCACTAGTTTCCTCAAACTCTCTTCATCCATCCTCCTCCTCCTACCTCCTTGTCTACACACTCGCTCTCTTCACATCTTCATTCACCTTATTCTTCCACTCTTTTCCATCTCTCCTCTTTTGCCTCCCTCGACACTCCATCATTCGCTCTCCCTCCCTCCATATGTTTCTGAGAAAGTCATCATGATTTAGACAAGTTTATGCTGCTTGAACAAATTACTTTTTGTGCTTGGCTACGGTTGGGTGTGCGTATGTATGTGTGTGTTAATCTGGAAGAATTATTGAATTAGTATTTTATGAGTAATAGGCATTAAAGGAGGACAGAAATTAATGGGAGCCACATGGATGGAAAGAAAAGAAGTATGAGCATAGCATATACCGTCTGCACTCGTTCAAAACAAAATTATGCACCCACATAACAGCAAAGACAGACACAAATACCTTTTAAGTTAGTATTTGACTCAGATGAGTAACTTTTAATAAAGCAGCCACTGTGCACACAAACATACACACACTCTCTGGTTTTAAACATCTGGGAGTCGGTCCATAGGGGCGGTACCAGTGTCACACAACATCATGATGATTTGTGTGATCTGTAATGTATTTGATAATGTCATTAAAGGCCTGTTGTGAACCAGATGGGACATATGGAATACATGTTAACTTGCAGAAACGATTCAGAGCGAAGGAGAAGTAATATTCATGCAGCATTTATTCCTACATTGTACTGACAGGCTCACAAATGACAGATACTGACTCAAGACATGCACCAGAGAAAGAGGGGAAAGAAGCAAGCAGATGGGCAAAGTATACGACTCAGGCGGGAATACCAGGCATGGTAGATTATATTAAAAAATCATCATTACAGGACCAAGATGCTGTGCTGTTTCTGGACTGGAATTGTATTCAAAGTTTTCTTTGTTCTTTTTACCCATAAATATTTGTTTTGCTGTTCTTACTGTGCAGCAGCCAGTTTTCATATCCCTTTTTGATGATCAAGTCATGTCAGATCATGGGAACTTGCATTATACAGAAATAGAAAAAAAGATTACAATATCAGTGTAACTATTCTATGATTCAGTGCACAAAATTGGCCGTAGGCCTGGTTATGGGAGGTTGCCCACATGACAAGAGAAAAGCAGCGATTTTCAGTGACCTGAGGTCTTAAGTCGAGAAATGATGTTGTCTCAGTTTGAGTCTTCGTCTAGAGGAGTTTGAGACCTTTTGCTGGTAGAGGTACATTTAAGCTCAACGTGGTACAAATGTCATTATGTAGCCCTCCTGAATTGCTGCAGGCGGAGCTGTCTGTGGCCATTACAACACTGGACCTCAGCCAAGACCAAAACCTCCTATTCCCACCTTAATCTGTGGGAGGGAGGATGGATGGAGAGAGAAGGATTGGAGGAGGGAGACGTGGGTGGAATAGGAGGGAGGGAGAGGGAATCGTGATGAGAGGAAAGTTTTGGAAAGTTTGAAAAAAAAATTAGGAAAGAATTAAAGAAATACAGAAAGAAAAACAGAGAAAACACAAGCAAAAGGTCAACCATTCAAGCGTTCAACTGATAGAGAGAGGAGAAACTGAGCTGTGCAGAGGGAGGAAGAGAGGTGAAAACCAAAGGGAGAAGGTTCATAGGGGAACAAGTGAGTGAAGGAAAGAGGCAGAAGGGGGGAAAGAAGTGTTCACAGGGGAACCACGGAGCGAAGGAAAGAGGGATAGATGGATGAACGGAGGCACGGAGGAGAGGAGGAATAATGAGAATAGCAGACAAGGGTGTTGACCACAAATCCCTCTGGATAGATCAGAGGTCTCAGCAACACAGCCGGGAAGGATGTCGGGAGAGGGGAAATTAAATAAAACGACAGAATGGTTGGAGGAGGGTGGGGCGAGGCGAGGTGAGGAAAAGGCAGGAGGCAGGGTGAGGTCAAAGGGGAGAGGGAGAAAAGAGTTTGTGACAAATGAAGAAAGAAAAGCTGAGAGAAAAAAGGGGAAAGGGACATAGGGGGATATCATAAGGGTGCCATGTGTCATTTGGTTTGTAAGATTTGTGGACTGGACTGTCATACTTACCAGGATTCAGCTGTCAAAAACCTCCCTGTAGTGTGTGTGTGTGTGTGTGTGTGTGTGTGTGTGTGTGTGTGTGTGTGTGTGTGTGTGTGTGTGTGTGTGTGTGTGTGTGTGTGTGTGTGTGTGTGTGTGTGTGTGTGTGTGTGTGTGTCTTTGTCCTTGTGTGATGAAATTAGAGGAGATGGGGGGTGTTTTACTATTTTATAACTCTATCCACACACATACACACAAAACACACCCAGCACGGACATTTGAATAATTCAACGTGTCTGCACTGGTCCTCACTGGCTGACTGACTGTGGCCCTGCAGGCTCATGACATGGCCACACACACATACACACACACACACACACACACACACAGACTCACACCTGTTCTTTCCCTTCCCATAAGGTGAACGTGTTCCTTGTCATGCTCTTTTTCTATCCGGTAGTTGCATGTTAGACCTGGGTAGTTGCCTTTTCACTACAAACTAGAAGCGGCTACACAATAGGTTTCCTTCTGCCCTGAACATTATTGTTATTCAGCGGAGAGGGTGTGTGTAAATGAAGGAGAAAACAGTATTCACTCCACGTCTTGTCACCTCTAACCTTAACTGGGGGATAAAAGTATCATTTGAATCAGGAATATGTTTCTTGCTTGGAATTGCTCTTATAGTATTGGTATTTAACAATGTTTCTGCTTTTTTGTTTTGGCCTGTTTATGTTTTGTGTGTGTGTGTGTGTGTGTGTGTGTGTGTGTGTGTGTGTGTGTGTGTGTGTGTGTTATTAATGGTCAATTGTTTCCGCCTGTGTTAAGAGACAAGGCAAGATGACACCAGGAACAGATGCTTAACTTTACACCTCCTCTCTCTCTCTTTCTCACGCACATACACACCAACCTAAACTGTATTACGGGTGTAGTCCATTAGCTGATTGTTGCAGAAGCCTTTTAGAAAGAGACTGTTAACTGTGAATTTAGGAGTTTAAGACCTCAGAGATGCTACGTATCGTCTTACACCTCCTCACTGTGGATTCTCACTGCAGAGCCACAACCTGGAGGGCAGGCTTCTGTTGAATATATTGTAACAAAACGATATTGTTTTAATAAGTGTGCAGTTTGCCAATACTTACTGTGATGTACAATATTGAAGTGCACCATAATTTATGCAAATCTAAAACAGAGGGCAAGCAATGTTCTCTAGATTAGAAGAGGGCAAACTTGAGTTGAGGTAGATTTAACTTTCATTGCTTTCTGTTTATAACATGTTAACAAATAATAAGTTACCCACATTGCACTTAACTGCGACTGAAGGCTCTAACGTGGGTTGATAAGACCGAGCAGGGAGGTTAAAGCTAAAGATAAAGTCACGCAGCAGTATAAAATATGTCCAAAAACATATTTAAATTTTGACAGGTCAGCTTAACATTGATTCTGAATATTTAAGAGACAATTTCTTGACTGATCTCATAAAGATAATCAGTGTGTGTGCAGTGGTGAGCTCTGACAGCGGTCATTGCTGGTATTTTCTTATCGTGTTTTTAGCCTGCTACTGAAGCAATTTCAGTCCACCGAAGAGATTGTAAAACAGCAGTTGTAACGATTTGGATCAAGCAGCTGAAATAGAGATACACACATACATACATCGCTACCATATCACCACTGATTCAAAGAACAAGGTTAGACAATCATACAAACATACATACACTCAAAAAGATTAATCAGACACGTGTACATGTACATAAGAACACATACATATGAGTGTGTGAGTGTGTGTGTGCGTGTCTGTGCACACATTTACTGAGGAAATGTTTCAGTGTGCACCATGGGAAATCAGACAGCACCCGCCAGCCCCCAACTCCTTAGAGTGAGACTTCATAATTACACTTTTACACACTGACGCTCCAACACAGCACACACACCTACACACACACACACACACACACACACACCTACAGACACACACACACACACACACACACACACACACACACACACACAGCCTTGTAATTACAGTCCACTGCCACAATCCCATTAGGTCGTTTGGGGCCTTTCGGCATTTTTCCATCATTTAACTGGTCACAGTTTCTGGTATTAAGGCCATTGTAAGGGCATGAGTTCACTGGGTCTGACTTTGTATTGTACACCCAGTGGGTCACAGGTTCAATTCCCAGCTGGTCTAGTAGCCTGCTTGCTGTTCCCGCAAGTCAAAAACCCCTTTCATCCATATTTTGTCACCCCTGACGGGTCCTGCTGTTTAATTGATTGGGAACAGAAGGAAAATAGTGAACTTACACACGGACACACACACTCCAAAAACCAAGCGAACATCTATAAATGAGTACCCAACCAAGTAATTGCAAAGCCTTTGGCTCTGTTGAATGAGGTTTACTTCTCTCTGTAATAAACACACTATGCTGTGTTTTCAGCACTGATGTAACATAATAGAAAGAGAGGGAAAAACAGCCTTTGAGGTTTTCTAATAAAACAACAGGATTTTCAGATTTCTTTTTTCTTAAAATTACAGCAGAATATCATCATGGACTCAAGATAGGGAGAGGGGGAGATAGAGATGTTGAAAGTGAAATTATAGGAAAAAGAGCCAGAAGCCCAGCTGTGTTTTCCTGTGGAGAGCCCAACAGAGATGACAGTCATAGACGGCGAGAGAGAGACATGACACTCTGTCAGACAGACAGAGATGTAAAGTCTTGGTGTCAGGAGACAAAAGGAGTGCTTCTGGCCATGTGCGCTTGCATTCAATTTTCTTTTTATCTGTATATGTGTGTGTTTTCAGAGGAAATCATTTTGTGTCTGTGTTGTGTGTGCGCATGGTGGGGAGTGTGGGAGCACTTTATAAGGCAGTGGAGAGACAGTGTGTGTTTTGTGGTGTGTGTGTGTATGTGTGTGTGTGTGTGGGTGTGTGTGTCCGGAAGCAGTGAATCTGTGAATATCATGGTGTGTGTGTGTGTGTCTGTGCGTTGAGGGGTGACAGCCTGTGTTTTTCTTTGTTCTTTGTGCGTGAAGGAGCAAAGATTATGTTTTCCTGTGTGTGTTTGGGCGTGTGTGTGGTTGAGTCAAGAGGACGTGAGAAGAGGATGCTCTCCCACATAACTTGCACGCTTTGATTTATTACACACTGCCTGCCCTCAGATTGTGTGTGTCAGTGTGTTTGAAAACCTTTGCACTCATTCCTTCCTTTGTGAACAGAAAGAATATATTCAGTGTGTGTGTGTGTGTGTGTGTGTGTGTGTTAATGTATGTATGGTAAATTAGACGTTGAAATATTTCTGTCTGGACCAAAGCAGTGGACTGAGTGACAGGCTATGTGACTTAATGTGGCTAAAATCTCAACATGTGAACAAAATGTCTCTCTAGGAAATAAACTGTCTGCCCACTGTCCTTCCTGTAGAGTGTAACAAGGGAAAGACAGAAAATCTCTACAGCCATTAATGCAGAATCATTAAATTCCATCTGTTCCTCTTTCCATATAGGTTTTCCATGCCAATACTGACGCCACGGAGGTGGTTCTCAATCGGGTCCCACAGCCGGTCCTGGCCCGCTTTGTACGAATTCGACCTCAGACGTGGAAGAACGGCATTGCACTGCGGTTTGAGCTCTACGGCTGTCAGATTACGGGTAAGAAAGATGAAGCGTCTTCCTCTGTAGAGTTTCTCAGACTTTTTCTGGCCTATCTCCTCATGGGATTAGTGATATACTGGCTTTTACACTGGGTCAGAAGGTTGATCATAGCAAAAATAGTTCCCCTAGAAAACATTTCCTGGAAAAGAACAAGCAAATGTGATGTTTTTCTCTCTTAATTTATATAACCTAATAATAAATAATTGCTTACTTTGTCCATCCATCAATCCACCAATGCTTCTATTCATACTTTCCTCTGCTTTCTGTCATCTATCTTTCACATGCACACAACACACCCACTCTCATGTGCACTCACACTCTTGCCCTCGCTCTTTCATATACATATCCTCCCTCTCTGTCTCCCACTCACTCACACACACACACACACACACACACACACACACACACAACACACACACACACACACAAAGAAATACACTCAGTCCTAATAGAATAATACTAGAGTGTGATGTGTGGGTGATAACATCAGAGAGTAACAGGCTCTCAGCTTTCATCTGCAGCCCTGGCAAACAAACACGATTTCAACCAGCATAATCAGCTCAATACTATAAATAGATAAAACTTAATTAGACTGTCTGTGTTTGTGTTTGTGTGTGTGTGTTTGTGTGTGTTGTAGAAATGGTAAAAGAGAGAGAGTTTCTATCCATTTGAGTGTGTGTGTGTGTGTGTGTGTGTGTGTGTGTGTGTGTGTGTGTGTGTGTGTGTGTGTCCCAGCTCCACCGTATCATTATTAGGTTAGGGCCTCTCTCTGCTGCCATCGTAGTGGCCATTGAGAGGGACAGATATGCTCTTATCTAGGAGGGCTATTTCAGCACCCACACAAATCACAGTCACACCAAAACAATATGATACTGCTTGTGTGTAGGTCCCTGTGTGTATGTGTGTGTGTGTGTGTGTGTGTGTGTGTGTGTGTGTGTGTGTGTGTGTGTGTGATGTGTCATATATCAGGTATCTTTGCCTGTGTCTACCAATTGCCTATTTTTTACCCTATTTTAACTCCCAAAATTGCATTATATATCACCCTACTTTTCTCACTCTACTCTCAGCAGTGAGGTCCAATTCAGTGCATCTTTTGGCCATTTCTGTTTCCCTGTGTATTGCCCATCTCTTCTGCTTTTTAATATCTGCAATCCATCACATCTCTGAGGGAAAAGACTGACTATATATGCAAAATCTTGCAGACTAGTTTTAGCCTTTTGTTCAGAAGGATGACAGAGTTTGTTACTTTATAGAAGAAAGAACACACACTGTTCTGCAACAGTTTCCGTAACATATATCTATAACCTGTAGAGAAAACTTTTTAACCAAACAGACCAGCTAATAGCTATGCAGTATCTTCTCTTTTTTTCCCCCTGCACATAGACATATTGACAAGCACACACACGAACACACCACCAGGGGGGAATGTGATAATGCCCTACACAGGCCTATAAAGGCAGACATAAAGCAGTCAGTCAGTGACATGTCATTAACTTAAATCACACTTTTATGTCTCTCTACTTTTTTCTCACTTTCTACCTGTCGCTCTGTTTTTTCTTCATTCTCATTCTACTTTTTCCCCTGTCCTTCTATTGCCTCTGCTGACAGCTTCCATTCCCACTTTTCTCTCGCTGCCTTGATGATTTTCTTCTCCCTATCCCTTCCCTTAAATCTTCGCTGTCCCTGCCTCATTCAACCCTCCGTTCCTGCATCCCTCCTTCTCTCCTTCCTTAATCTTATTTTATTTTAGCCCTGCGGCACCTATCAATCATTTATTTCTAGCACCTTTATCATTTTTTCTCACCAGCCTTGTGTATGTGTGCGTGTTTGCAGCCATGTGCGTGTGTATCGGCTAGGTAGAGCCTCAGAGGTGTACTTTACAGCTTTTGTAAGACCCTGTTATCAGAAAAAGCAGGGAGTGTGTGTGTGTGTGTGTGTGTGTGTGTGTGTGTGTGTGTGTGTGTGTGTGGGCTAAACATCAGAGTATGTGCAAGTGGAAGTGTGTGTGAGAGACCTTGACTATTCAATTTCTATGTGCTGGTGCATGTATTGCTCTATATGTGTGTGTTTGTGTGCATGTTTATGTATTAATGTGTGTGTGTGTGTGTGTGTGAAAGAGACAGAGAGAGAGAGAGTGAGAGAGAGAGAGAGAGAGAGAGAGAGAGCGAGAGAGAGAGAGCTTTAAGGGCTCTCGTGCTGGTGTGTGATATCTATCTATTTCTGCTACTGTGATCTCTAGAGATGATATTCTCAACTCCCACTGCACCCCTGTATTTAAAAAAAAAAACCTGCTGGAGTGCAGCTACTTAAAATATAGATGCAAAAATAAGAAACAATACAATAATTGAATTTTCTTCTGGCTAATCAGTTTCTTTCTTCTGTTATAGAGCTTGAGCTCATCCAACATGCCTTAGCTGTTTTTGTTGTTTATTGTTGATTCATTATTTACCATAGTGAGGCTCGGCTGCAAACGTCACAGCATTAAACATTCATCTCCGTGTAGACCCGAAGAATGTCACCATCAATCACCGTCACCCTTCACTGTCAATCTGCTCTCTTTCTTTCTTTTCACCAGCATCTTTCTTTATCTTTCTCACCCTTTATATTCACTCGCTCTCTCTACAGTCCATCTTTCTGTTTGACCTTTGTCTATCTCTTTATCTCCTCCTTGTCCTTTAACTCCTCTTACTCACATTTCATCCTGCTTCTTCTTCTTCTTCTTCTTCCCTTCCTTCCTCTTCCTCTTTGCATCTCTTCTTTTATCCCACCATTTTCCTGCCCCATTTTCAAAAACGAAATGGTCACTTTGTTTTGTTCCCTTTGTTTTTTGTCATTATTCATGGGGATAACATATTCTGATGCTTGTTAGACTAAAACACATTTTTCAGTATAATAAACAGTATCCCTTTGATCTGCAACACGCTTTCATTTAGTTCTTCCATTTGGGAGTTCTCTGGCTCAATTCCCCATGAAGAATCCCCTTTGGTAGCTTGGTTAAAGTTATGCACCAACTTTGCAGCCGAGGAAGGAAAAATAATGAAATGGGTAGATGGAAAGCAGCAGAGTGCAACACACCAGGCGTTGTTTTAACAATTCATTTATGAGACAGGAGTTTTGCTCCAAGATGAGATCAAACAGTGACACCAAATTATTCCTGACCTTCAAGTCACATTCATTCATGAAGAGTTTGTGATTTATATGTTTAGCAATGCAGTAAACTCATTTAGACCGATGGGATTGAGAAAACAGAAAAACCGGTTTGCTTTTAAAGGAAAGTTATAATAGCATGTATATGTCTGTTAACCTGTAATTTGAATATCCATCACTCTTACTATTCACTCCATTTCCAGAGAATATCTACCTTTCTGGCAGCCTCTAACTTCATTTCACATTTTCATTTCACAGACGTGATATGAAATCCATCACAGTAAAAATTTTGTTAACTTTTGTATCTCTTTTATTTTATTACTGTGTGGTAATGCAGTTGCACAGTAGCATGTAAAGAGCATTTTGAAAAAAATACATGTGTTGGTTCATTCATCAAACTTACAACCTCAACCTTTTAATGCAAGAAATGTCAAAATCATACAATCCTTTTCATATCAGTTAAGTGTTCTATTTGCTCGTCCTGTGGATCTGTTTTTTTTTTGGCAACAGACTGTTAAATCATGCATGCTGTACTGATGCTAAGAGAGCGCAGAGGACAATTTTCCAAACTCTACTTGAGTTGCATCTCTATGCAATTATACTATTCTTTGAAAACAAAACTAAAGGCATCAATATTCCCATTGAGAGCTGATTTTAATAGCAAAATGACTAGAAATTCTACCTGTAACTTAAGAAAACAATTCAAATGTTTATTTCATTCCATTCTCTTCCTGTCTGCTGTTCAGATGCTCCCTGTTCAGAGCTGCAAGGCATGTTGTCTGGGCTGCTACCTGACTCCCAGATCTCTGCGTCGTCCATGAGAGACATCCACGGCTCCATGGGGGCAGCCAGGCTGGTGGCCAGTCGGTCAGGCTGGTTTCCCAACCCGACACAACCAATAGCTGGAGAAGAGTGGCTACAGGTACGTCACCTAATCCTTACGAGTGATCTTGTTTTTTACATTACGGTACATTACAAACCATAGTTGGAGATGAAGGGCAACAGGTAAGGTTTAATTTACTGCATCAGAAATTAAATGCTGCCACTTGGAGCCTCTTGATATTTCAGTTCAGTACATTTTGGCCCCTTTCCCACCACAGGTAACATAATGTAACATGTAGCTTTTATTTCCATTATTTCTCCTCCTCTTTTGGTGTAAAGTTCCTGGAAATAACAATAATCATATTTTACTATATCATCTGCAATGGCAACAACTGTCACTGGAAAAACAATGCTGGACAAACCACAAAATATCGAAGCCTAGAGAAAAAGGTGCTAGTATCGGTTGTAAGAAACAGAAGTTGTACCAGAGGATATTGAACATTTAGGAAAACTGGGAATAAACCATATGATAAAACAGTGAGGAGACAAGATTAAGTGAATAAAAGAATGCGTCCAGCAAGCTGAAAAACAACTGAGTTTTGAGTTTAGCTTGTATTTCTAAACTGACCCAGTGCATGAAATACAACAGAAATGCAAAAAATAAAGTGGTTCTTGTACCCAACAATTTGTTAAAAGTTCTGTAATGAAAAACCAGCACTGATCGATTGTGCAGGCTACAGAGAAAGTCAGAGTAGCCACAATAGGCAGGGGATCTTGAAAAAGATTGGCTTCTGTGGTGCAGAGAGTGTGAGCTAACAATAATAATTATGTTTGCCTGTGTTGCAGGTGGACCTTGGTGTGCCGAAGATGGTGCGTGGCATTATTACCCAGGGTGCACGAGGGCTGGAGGGCAGCACCAGCACTGAAAACAGAGCATTTGTCAGGAAGTACAAACTGGCACACAGCTTGACCAGCAAAGACTGGACTTACATCACTGACAGCAAGACTGGGTTTGCTAAGGTAAAGGAGGAGAACACACACACATACACACACACTGTCTGTCTGTCTGTCTGTCTGTCTGTCTGACACATACATATGTACTATCCTCTCAGATTGTCACTGTCAGTTCTCCCTCATTTGTAGTTTATTTATAGCTGTCTTTCTCTCAATCCCTCTTGCTCTCCCTCCCCTCCCCCCCCTCTCTCTTTCTCTCTCTTTCTCTCTCTCTCTCAGCCTTGTCATTTTTGGGGAAAAAAGCCATTTTATTACAGCCTCAGCTCTGATAATAATTCAATTTAATCACCTCACTCCTCATTCTCCCTGCCACTGTCTTTGCCTCTCTCTAAGTCCTCTGTATTCTCTCTCTCTGCTTTTCTCTGTGTCTCATCCTCTCGTTCACTCAGCCTCTATTTGTCTCTCATGGGTGTTAATTAAAAATGTCTTTCCTGCATCACCACTCAACACTGCTGGCAGTCTAACGCACTGTGAGACAGGGCACTTTAAACTCTGTTCTCTTTTCTGAGACTCTGTCTTAAAACGCTTTAATAGTACTACTGAGTGTCTGGCTTTTCTCCTGATGCTAAAATCCTGTTCTCTCTCATCTGCTTGTCTTTTTAAATGAGCATCCTGGGAAATTCATCATACGTTTTTAAAAATTCGAAAAATGGCAAAGACAGAAGATACAATTCAATTAATGAAACCGACATTACAACTTTCACAGCCCACATTTTGAGAGGATTGCTGCAGTCTAGTCAGCTTGTAATAAATCTTGTGTTTTTGCCAGAGGCTGCTACAAGCCTCAAAAAATTACTCGAAAATCAAAGGAAACACATTATTTTTATGACATGTGTCATACTGTGCTAGGAAACAAAGCTGATTAGGAGTGTTGTATGACTTTGGAGAGACAGGCTCACCATTTTTGCTGTTGTTTTTCAATAATATGTGAACGGTGGAGTGGTGAAATGACAAATTTAACTACTTCTGCAGCGTTTATATCTTTCCCCACTTTTTCAGGATACTCATCTTTAATGCTGTCTTCACCACAGAACAATGTATCAATGCTCCCACTCTGACAGATGTCATATCAAACAAACATGGAGTAAAGCTCACCATTCACTCATCATTTTCTGCCTAAGACATCTCTCAGACAGCTTTGGATTTAAGACAAACTCTAGGACAAGCAATGCTACTTGTAACAATGTTTCTTTTGAATCAGCGCTGGGAAGATGCAGCAAGATCTTACTAGGTTGAGCTACAGTGAAAAGAGCAGCTGTCATCAGTGGAGCAGGCTACAAAATGCCATATTTTCCTGTTGAGTGCACAAATTGAACTGAGGAATGTCAAAATTGGCAGGAAAATATCCTTTGGAGGGGAAATGTTTTATCCTTACTCTTTCCTTGTTGTAAAATGAAAATAGGAAACCACTCTCTAATAACTCTCTAAACTCAAATAACAGCACTATCAACATGCCTTTGCCTCTCTGCTCTTAGATTTTCGAGGGAAACGGCCACTACGATACGCCAGAGGTGCGGAGGTTTGATGAGATAGTGGCCCAGTACATCAGAGTCTTTCCGGAGAGGTGGTCGCCTGCTGGGATCGGCATGAGGATGGAGGTCCTCGGCTGTGACCTGCCTGGTAAGAACACACATGTGCATATGTAAGATAACAGAAGGCTACACACTTTCAGACAGAGACGTACACATGCAACACACACACACACACACACACACACACACACACACACTTTCACACACAGATGGGCTATGAGCTTATAGGAATGTACGTTTGTGCACACCCATCCAAATGCACACTGATACATATGTGTTAATATGTTAATAATACATTAACACAGTCATTCGCAGGGGCGGTACGCTCGTTTGTTTATGACAGGCGCATAAAATACCACAAAGCCTTGAAAACGATTATGATACTTCAGCATGTATATGTATATTACATGATCCATAAACGTAATTACAAACAAAACATTAGTGACTTAAATGTGCTGTGCAAATCACACCATTAATCTATTTAATATCTGTAATTAGTGTGTTTATGTGCATGGTTTACGAGCATTTAGAACTTGTGTGTGCTTTCTTTTGTATGCCATTGTGAGTGGCTCAAGTACACAACATGTATTATATTTATGTATATAGTAGGCTACATGTTGTGTACTTGAGTGTGTGCGTGCACATACTTGCATGCATTCTGCATAGTGGTGGAAGATAATCATCTTGCTCTATAGGAGGTATTGCAGCATGTCTGGACAGGGATTAAAATGTCTAGGTCATGGGACTTTTACTAATAGTGGCCAGCTGTGTAGTTGTACTATATTGTGTTCACAGCCTATTATGTTAATAACATGTTGCTAGCGTGTAGTGAAGGATTAAGTGCAGTACATGGTCAGCTGAAGTCTGATCAATCTGTGGTCTATTCTGTTAAAATCTTTTCGCTTCTATATTTCATACTCAGAGATTGGTGGAAAGATTGTTTTTATAAAGACTGATGAATGGGGACTATTAGAGTATGTTTCTTTATTGAGCTGTGTATTTATTACAATATGTGACTGTTGTATGGAGCTTGTTAGCTGTGGTGAGCAAATTATTCTCAGCTGCACAATAACTTCGATAATAAAGCAGGCCGTTGTACAAATCTCCCCACATTTATTGCTTAACTTGAGCAATAATGATGTGCTGCATACATTTTGTCCCTGAAGTTGTGATACTTTTCTATCCTACGTTATGAAGAAATCAAAAGGCCCGATACGGTCTCAATAATGATTCACCTAAAAACAGTAACTGTACTAAATGTTTTCTTAACCAGACATCTATATTGTGGCCAACCTTCTCTCCTCTCTCCTCTTTACTCTTCTCCTTCTTGTGCCATCAAATCTTACTGCTTTAGTCAGGTTGTGACATGTGAGAGGTGAAGACGAGAACAGGAAATGACACGTACCTGTTCCCAGTGGACGTGAAGTGCGCTGTTGGCTTCAACTGATGGCCTGCCGCTAAAATTCTGTATTTCTGGACTGTGTGTGTGTGTGTGTGTGTGTGTGTGTGAGAGAGAGAGAGAGAGAGAGAGAGAGAGAGAGAGAGAGAGAGAGAGAGAAAGCCCAAAGGGAACAATATATCCTAGATGTGTCAGGACTAGCCAAGAGGTGGGTGATGATGGGAGAGAGGGGACATTCTCTACCCTCTACTGTTATACTGTTAACACAGGTTTTAATAGGTTACCATGGCAATACTAAAAATACAATTCAGGTATAACACAGATATAACATCAATAAAAGGTCTGATTTTTTCTTTGTAGGACAAGTGAGTACTGTGTACCAGTGAGATAACATGAAGGATTATCCATTATAATATATCTAATAGAAAGATAAAGCACTTTTCTTCTTTTGGTTTTACAGTTTTCTCAGATTAAATTTTATAGTTTAAAACTTACCTTAAATTTAACTACTCCTCGAGTTAAAAGCATCCTTAATGAGAGGACATACAGTGAGATGTGGCACGTTAAGAAGTCTTTTCTTGGAGGAAAATTCCCCTTTTTCATTTAAAGTTTCAGCTGACTGGTAGTAAGAACAGTGTAAAATATGCGCTCATTGATATAAAAACCCTCAGGCACAAGAAAGTGACATATAAAAAAGATTGGGGCATTCACTGGACTGATTATCTAGCATGTACAAGTTGTATATCATGAATGGCAGCAAGTGATTTCTTTATAATGGAGACAAATGCCTCTTAATATGTCCAATCGTGCTCACTGCAACCAGTGTGATTGCACCGGCAGGGTTTTCTCTTGTTCATAAACATTTATTTTTATTGTGCCTAATGACATCATACACGTCAAATCCGCAGCCAAAAGCTCCATGATCATAGTACGGATCAAGCTCTTGGCTATTGCACTGTTTCGGTGACTGTCTGCTGGTTTGGCTGTCTGTGTCTGCATGCCAGATGTTTGCCTTCTGGATGTAATCCATGCATTAGACATGATAACAGTTCATTCCCATTTTGCATGAACACCACAGCAAGTGCTCCTGCTACCATCCAAAATACTGCACATAATCACACCCTATGATGATTCCACATCTTAGAGGCTTAGAGCAAGTAGATTTAGTTCAATTTCACTTTGTCTGTTTTTTAATTGTCTCCACACTAAGTGTCATTAGGATAATAACACTGTAAAACACACGGTCTCACCAGTCATGCAGTCACAATCATTTTGCTAGTGAGTATACATGAAAACAATAATCAAAAAAGCCCATTTGACTGAAAACAAAATAGACTTTGTTTCTCCTCTCGCTTGTGTGTTGTGTATGTGTGTGTGTCTGTGTGTGTGTCTGCGTGGGTGTGTGTGTGTGTGTGCTTGCAAGTGTTGAGTTGTAACGGGAGATAAAATATTCAACAGAGTGCATCAGCTTCAGTCCACTGAACACAGCTGTTTACACATAAGTCACAAGCACACCAAAACGCACACACATTCAACTCTAGTGGACCTCTCGTATAAATTCAGACACACACACGCACACACACATACACACACAAGGCTACAGATAGGAAGTAAGATATAAAGTCATACAGGAAATGGCCTAACAACACCTTTCCATCTCCGTCCAGATTCAAGCCTAGGAGGTTGTCTTCCTTCCTCTATCTAATACTTTCCATTTCTCTAAAAAGGCAGCCTTCAAAATGGTTCTGTTTTTTCTTTTCACCAAGCTTGACATCTATAAAGTTGCCCCACTTTAAAAGGGACATCCTTTAAAAATCTTGAATTGTAGGCGTTTTCCTTTCTTCCTCAGAGCCTTGGCATACAGTCGAGCCAGAACCACCACCCATCTCAGCACTGCTAGGGAAGTAAAGGAGTGAATTAATGAATTGATAAATAAATAAAAGGAGACTTCAGTAGTGTAAGGCAATCACATGTTCTCTAACACACTCACAACAACACAGGCCAGCCTGCAGAGCATGCAGCGAATCAGGATTCAGTACAGTTTCAGAGCTCTGCTCTCCGTTGACATAAGTAACAAACATGGACCCTTTTAAAATGTTTGACATCATGAAATTATTTATATACAGTACCGTAATAACATCTGTATTACACATCTACTGTCATACATCATTCACTGAAAATAAGAAGACAAGCATCATCTCATTCACAATTTATAAAAGTATTGCGCATACTAGCATGTTGTTTATACATTCTTCAAAAGTAGAGACAAAGACAATACGATGTCAATGTCAGTCACAAACCTCATATCCTCTAAACACCAGCTTTAACAAACTCACAAAGAAATTGCTTTTCCATTACTGCCCCTGTATTGTTTTCATATTTTTTACAATGAAGCGCATTGACCTAGCTTCGGGGCTGTAAAACAATTTCCTCACATGGGAGAGACAATCTGAACACCCAATTACTATGAAGAAATCTGAAATGACGGATTCAGGGTTCTTAGGGGGCACACAATAATGTAGTTTAGCATCTCATTATTGCGCCAAACCCCTGGTGCGAAAACAGAAACAAAAGCCAGAATATTATTGCAGGACTCATTCTGATCATTCATGCTGGCTATGGAGGCAACATGTAATTTAGGTCTTGTAACCCCGACTATTGGATGTGAAGTGAGAGCTGCCAAGCTGCCAGTTTTGTTCATGTTTTAAATGACTGAGCTATCAGAACATCTGCTATGCTCTCATCTCTTTTACTCCACACCTAGTTGTTGGCAGGCAGGCACATATGTACACACACATACAAACACACACACACACACACCACCTGTTTGGCATAAAGACAAAGGTTTGTTCTTAGTTGTGTAAATACATGCTTAGGTTCTCATCTCCATTGAAAACGGCAGTGTTATGGGGAAAATAACTGAGGGACGCTTAAAAACACAGACAGAGAGAGAAAGCGGCTTTGTGTCCGGTGTTTCAGAGGAGGCTAATAACATATTTGTCTTTATTCTTCTGCCGCTGTTCTTGCTGCTGTTTGGTGGATCTTCACCTGTCATGAAACCAGAATCAGACAGAGATTTTGCTTCTTACCTCTGTGTTCAAAAACCATAACAATTTGGTAGACTACATCTTTCATTCATTCTTTTAGTTACCTCTCACTAATGCCACTTTTCCACCGCATGGTACAGCTCAACTTTTTTGGTTTACCATTACCTAAAATTTTTAAATCCACCAAGCTACCATCAACCCACCAGAATTTTTAATTTTTCTCAAAAATGCCAGCCCAACAAAACCACGCCACGGTCAACTGATGAAGCACAGAAATATCAAGAATACCATCCCTTCATATCCTCTGTTATAAAAGTAGCAGCTCATTTTTGTGTTGCGTGGTTAGCAGTAGTAGTAGCAGTGAATGCAAGTGGTGCAGAGGAAAAGGTGAGCAGTAAAGTTATCAATCTGGCAGTAAATGTACAGTTTGGCAGTGAATAAAAGCTGCAGCTTCAAAAAAGACCAAAGTAAAGTTTCTGACCCGTGTGTTGTTTCCTGCGTCGCCCTTAAAATCAGCTCCGCCTACATTTAAGGGATCCTAGCCAAAGTACTATCTACAGTGGAAAACCAAGTAGAGGTACCAAAAGCGAGCAGCACCATGCAGTGGAAATACAGCTTAAAAGATTTGGCATGTGAAGGTGG